GTTTCATGCATTACATCTTGTAGCCCTTAGTGAGCTGTGTCTATGGTTAAAAAAGTTTGGGTTTCTGGCTTGTTTCTGATGAGTTAGAACGTTTTTACTACTATAGCTATAAGGGTAATTGTATCAGGAAAAAGTACTATGTCAACGACTATAAGTTGAAACAAGCTGATATTTTTCTCACATATAGTTGTATTTATGTGGAAGATAATGTGAAAGTCTGAGCTCAAAACACCTTGGGAAGATAGAGCTATCAGTTTCATAACATATTAGCATGACTATATGTGAGAAAAAATCTCAGCTTGTTTCAACTTATAGTCGTTGACATAGTACTTTTTCCTGATACAATTACCCTTATAGTTATAGTAGTAAAAACGTTCTAACTCATCAGAAACAAACCAGAAACCCAAACTTTTTTAACCATAGACACAGCTCGCTAAGGGCTACAAGATGCAATGCATGAAACTCCAACTGAAAAGCGTTTCGACACCTGAAAACGTTCGCTAGTGAGCTATCAAAACATTTTTTTTTCAAAACAGAACAATAATACTCTGATACCGGAAGTGTCATTCCCAAAACAGAACAGCGCACATTAATTAGCCACAATCAGGTGAGTATTTGACCAATTAGTACTAATTAAGACAAGTACTCAACTTAATTTATGCTCATTGGATGAGTACTTATCTTAATTAGTCATAACTAGGTGAGTACTAATTAGTTGATCGTTAATCATTACTCAGCTAATTATGACTAATTAGGCAAATACTCATCTAATTAGCACTAATTAAGGTTATTACTCGACTAATTAGCGCTAATTAAGATGAATACTTATCTTATTTAGTATGAATTAGTCAAATACTCACCCAATTATGGCTAATTCAAGTGCGCTGTTCTGTTTTTGGAATGGCACTTCCGATTTCACAGTACTGTTGTCCCGTTTTGGGAGCAATCTGGAGTTTCTTTAAAATACTAGCGACAATTGACGATACTTATTGATAACTATTTGTACTGTATATTTAAAATGGGTATAGTATGGAGTAATAGACTCCATTTTGGCTCAGTTCGTACGACCAAAGCTAAGGTTGATACAAAGGGAGTGCTTTGACAGCTTTAGAAGCTTATTGAAAATCTAGAAGAGTTTTAAGGAATCCAATAGAATCTCATGGAATCCTAAGGAATCTTATGGAATCCTACGGAATCTTACGGAATCCTAGGGAATCCTAGGGAATCCTTGGAATCCGAAAGAATCACAGGGAATCTTTGGAATCCAAAGGAATTCAGGATTTCAGGATTCCAGGATTCCGATTTTTCCCCCTTGCACACCCCACATCCACACCCCACCCACGCCCACACCCACACCCACACCCACACCCACACTCACACCCTTCACACTGGGGATAAACGTTCTCTTTTGCTGCTTCGAAAGATCTTTATATAAAAAACACTCATTTATTACGCCTTTCATTATTTGTTCTCCACCAAAACGTTGAGGTGAACTCAAAAGCATGAGAGAAAAAAACGTGATCAAGTCACAAATAGAATATATTTGACGAGAGCTGACGTCAATTATATATCAGGTTTTTCTCTTCCTTCTCGTGATAAGACTATAAAATATTGTCATGTGGGACACATTATTGCGTCGCAATATCGAATGATTCACCTCAAAATTTGAGAGATAAATATACATCAATTTAATATTTTTTTCTTCAATTTTCTTGCCTGTTTGTTATACTAAACAACATCATTTTTCTTCATCATGTTAGCAAAACTTATTTTATTTGCATATATTTTATTGTATCACGGTTCTAATGAAGATATCATTAATATGGGTGGTGATCCGAACGTTACTCATCTTATTTCAAATGTCTCCATCCCTAGAACAATCTTCTTATATTCCACACAGATCGATTTGTTTTTAAATGTTTATCAGCGTCCAGTCAATACTACACATAAAGAGACATTGAAGGTGTTCAGTGGCAATACAAATATAAACTCGACTAATCGCTGTATTGCCTTAGGTATATCTTTTGACCTCTGGGGTCAATTGCCAATACAATATCCTCAAGAAACTGGAAATGGTGGTTGTGATGCACTTTGGGCAAAAGAATGTTCAAAAAATATTCTTGCTAAATTGGTGAGCTCCTTTCAAAATATCAAAGATCGAATTTGCGGAGTTCCCATACCAGACATCCTATTACAACCTCCTCCAGGCTGTCCACCAAAAAATTCGTCTCATAGTGGAATCAGCAGTACAGTATTTCTTCATAATGGTACCTTTATGATTAACAGCTCAGAGCCAACAGATCCATCAAAATCATGGGTATATTATCAAAGTGATCCTTCAATCGATGGTGATTATAATGAACTTATGAAATATTTTGTCTTTACATATTTTGTTGGACGTGGTTATATTTCAGACTCTATTGATGCTGCGATATCTTGTATGTCTGTTTTTAATAAAACCATAGGGCCAAGTGATGAAGCCAGCCAATTGTTCGTATCTAAAAACTTTTCCATTTTGCTGTGCTTATTCGTCATTCTCTTCAACATCATTTCTTAATTTGCATTTTATTTCTCGGTTTATAATATACAAACTATAATTAAGTCAATATTTATAATAATGACAATTGAAAACGATAAATTGACATGATTAAATTCATGAGAACTTCGTTTATTATCTTTCTTTGATTTATTTATAAATAAAATACTATTATTTTTATCAGCTATTGATATCTAATGATGGATTGAATTGCGTAGAATTTCAATAAATCTTTTTTCAAAGTATTAATACAAATTCAGATTTCACGAAAATTTCAGAATGAAATACAAATCATTTCCATCTTTATTATATAACAATATGATTATAGTATGTTCATAGTTTTTCTTCTATAATTACATTTCAAACAGAGATAACAGGTGAATAAATATATTTTTCTTGTGTTTTTTTATTCACAAAATTGATATCAACGAAGAATATGATTCTCTATCATGAAATGCCAGTTTTACACAAATTTGTGAATCTAGTAGTCTAATCAACACAATTTTACTAGTCTTGAATCATGTATATTTGCTTCAATTAATTCAGTAACAAAATTTGAAAATATTTTTACACAAATTCAGAGTCTAAATAGACTTGTTGAATCATATCTTAATATAAATAAAAAAGATAAACGTTATATAACTCGAATGATGTTAATGCGCCAACCATCTTTTCCTTTGTTCAGCGGGCACTTCAACATTACCTAAAATGTTATCTTTCAATTCAATAATATTTGTTATATTTGATATTTATTCAATTGCTTATATTTTACGTTATTAATTTAACGAATTTAAAATAGTGTTAGTCAATAAGTTTTATTTTTTGAACCGAATAGTGGAAATAGGATAAGATGAGTTACGAAAGGAGTTTGAATGAAAAGAGAGAAAAAAAAACGGAATTGTTTAGATAAAATGATTTGAATGAATCAAATCAAAGAAATGGATCAAAAATGGAAGCACGTAAATGAAGGAAATGTAAAGAAATAGTTTATTTTGATAGGAAAAAAAATTGTATAAAGATAGTGACGTGTTTCGAATTTTATCTTCGTCAGACTACCCAAAAAAAAAAAAAAAGAAAAAGAAATATATATATAAATGATGTGCCAAAAATAAATACCATAATGTATTTTTTTATATATATCATGATGCGTGTTTTTCGTTGATAGATTCGAGAGCAGTGGATAGAAAAAACATTTATATATATAAATATATAAATAACGTGCCAAAATAAATGATCTGATGCATTTTTTATATATATTTTTTATATATTTTAAATATAACGTGATGCGTATTTTTCGTTAATAGATTCGAGAGAAGTGAATAAAAATTTATATATATATATAAATATAATAAATGATGTAATGTATTTTGTTATATTGATAGATTCGAGAAGTGGATAAAAAAAATATATAAAAATATATAATAAATGCTGGCATCCCACTCCGCCTCTTTTTCCTCCTTTTCCTCTTTTCTTTTAAAATTCCTCTTTTTAGCCTCTTTTTCCTCTTTTCTCACAGAAAAGTAGCTTGTTGGCGAAAACATCCATGAATATATTGATTAATGTTACTATATCTTACGAAAAGATTACAAAACACAAACTGATGTGCCGATCAGTCGAGATGTATACCTAAGGAGGCTAAATTATACGATTTTAGTGATCAACTTCAGCGATGTTATATATTCCTAATTGGGACCCAATTTTTATAACTCTCTAGTGGAGGCAAAATCGCTCAATTATATTTTCAATGTGAACTCATCATTCTCTCACAATCTTGGCAAGTTTTTCTGGTAAAGATCGACATGTAAAATGATAATATCGGCTTACTTTTCTTGACCATTTTTCTCAGTCCAAGGGAAGCTTGTGATGTGAATCTAACAATGGATAGCTAACTCTTAGCATAACATATTGCGTCAAAATGAGAAGAAGTTTCCAGAGTGGCTAGATCTATCCTAGAATCTTGTCAGATTCGATAGTATTTCTTCGATACGATAGCTTCTGATAGTATGATGTCGTAAGTTAAAGATTTCTGCTTATCAGATACCGATAAAAGTTTTCATGTTGTATCCGGCAGTATCTGATCCTTCAAAATTACTGGGTTGATTACAGATGCCGTGGTATGTTGCTAGATTACCTTACGCGATTGATTTAGGGTGTGGGTGTGG